AATAAATCATCATTATTAATATAATACTGATTTGAAGGAGGTAAATAACATTTCATTCTGTCATTTTGATTTTAAACTGTCCAGTGACATATATGTTGACTCCTTCTGCTTTGTCCATCTGTTTCACTGCTTCACTACTAAAAATATTGACAAAGCTAATGTTGACATATTTTTGTCATGAATTGAACCATGCCCCCCCCCCCAAAAAAAGCATTTCTACTTTCTAACTAAAGAGCGCCTTCATCAGTTGTTACAAAAAGACTGTAAGTGATCACATGGTAAAGTACAAGCAATGATAATATAGTAAACTGAATATTTTATTAAGTACCTGAGGGGAGGGGGACATTTTATACCGGGTATAGACAATTATTGGGTAAAATAACACAATGTCCAACATTAATTTTTTTAAATAGTTAAAATTGAGAAAGGAAGCAAATCTCATTTTTCCAATTTACCGGGTAATGACAAAATTTTGAAAACAATCATGGGAATAGTTGATTTCTTTTCTGAGTGAAGACTTACTTAAGAATTATGATTTTAATATTCATAAAAATCATGAATGCAAATGAACGGTCAGCATTTGTTTTTAGAACAAGGTCATAGATCGCAGGCATATTTAACCCTGGTTTTCATGTTCTGATACATCTCTGCTAAAAACAAGTGCAACTTTTATGTTAAATGACTGAACAGTTTCTTAAGTAGAAATGTTTACAATAAACAACTGAAGCTGGAAGCGGGAGCGTTGTCACCTGCGCACGCGTGGGAATTGTATCCAAAGCAACGATAACAACACACGCTAAAAACGCAAAGACTATAAAAAAATAATTCCTCTTTTGCAAAACAAAAATAAATAAATACACTGCATAAAAGATTGAGATTTTCATAAATGTTTACAACAAAATATGACTAATATTGACATCAATAACTGGTTTGACAATGAAAAAACCTCAGAATAAGTTTTATATTTGTAATATAATTCAAACAATTGTTTTGTCACTACATTTATTGCATAAATATTTTAAATAGTATATCAATTCATCACATTATATACGAGTATATCCACTTATCATATACCTCGTATTGCCCGGCCTTGTAATGCTATGGGGAGTGCGTCCTCGCAATAATTTCCCATATCACGCCTGGCCCAGCGACCGGGCTTTCGTCATTCACAACAGAACATGTCATTCTAAATTACGTCGTGTGTTAGAGGTCATGCCATGGTCAAATTGTAATTACACCTATAATGTATATGATAAAACCTTTATGAACTGGAAACAGCTTTTGCAGCCCTCTGCCACATGACCTTGGGTCGCAAAAGCCGTATCCAGTCCATAAAGAATAATATTACATGTAATATATTACTAGAATATAACATCTATCATAAGTAAATAGATGACTACCATAGTATATCCATATATCACTAGTATAACCATATATCACTAGTATATCCATACATCACTAGTATATCCATATATCACATAACTATATGTAAATAGATAACTAGTAAATTCATATATCACATAACTATATGTAAATATATGTAAATAGATAACTAGTAAATCCATATATCACATAACTATATGTAAATAGATAACTAGTAAATCCATATATTACTAGTATATTCATGTATCACGTAAATATATGTAAATAGATAACTAGTATATCCACATATCACCAGTATATCCATATATCACATAATTATATGTAAATATATGCAAATAGATAACTAGTATATCCATATATTACTAGTATACCCATATTTCACATAAATATATGTAAATAGATAACTAGTATATCCATATATCACATAACTATATGTAAATAGATAACAAGTATATCCATGTATCACATAACTATATGTAAATAGATGTAAATAGATAACAAGTATATCCATATATCACATAACTATATGTAAATATATGTAAATAGATAACTTGTATATCCATATATTACCGGTACTAGTATATCCATATATCACATAACTATATGTAAATATATGTAAATAGATAATTAGTATATCCATATATTACTAGTATATCCATATATCACATAACTATATGTAAATATATGTAAATAGATAACTAGTATATCCATATATTACTAGTATATCCATATATCACATAACTATATGTAAATACATGTAAATATATAACTAGTATATCCATATATTACCAGTATATCCATATATCACATAACTATCGATAATATTACAGTATTTGTAATTTAAAACTCTGTATCAGCATATCTAAATGTAATGGTGATTCACAGTACTTGGAAAACTGATATACAATGAATAGGTCTAAAGTATTTGTTTTGGCAACTAGATGTAGCTAGTATCAAATACACCTGAATATCACTAGGCAGTGCTATCCCCTATAACACAGGTCAAATCACTACCGTATTAATGTTTGTTTAATTCTTCCTACTATTGCTATTCATACAATACAGTATGTACATAAAAAGTTGAAACGTATTCCTGATTTGACATTTGTGATAAAAGTAACAGTATTCAAGTTACAATTAATATATCCTAACATTATAGCGGTTAAATCCTATTTACACTTTTTTTGTCTGAATGACAAAAGAAAAATCAGTTGGGACAAAACTTTGAAAAAATTTCTTCAAAGTGAATTTTACTTTGCTGGATGCATGGATGAATGCAACTCATACTTGAAGTTTGTAAAATTTCTTTCCATAAATGTACATGGTCAGACCGTGAGATGAGCAGTCACATTAACCGAGTTGATAACTTGAGTATTATTTTCTTGGTCGACTGAATCGAGTACTGATGCATGGCAGTTCTCCCATGAAGAGCATGGGACGTGTCAAAGGTCACTCGTCATCATCATCTGCATCATCTGTTATGAGTATCTCAGAATATCTGATATCTTCCCTTGTGTACTTGTTAGCAGTTACTTTCTGGTAGAGCGCCCTCACCAACACTGCAAATCCAATTACAATGAGTGCTATGGCCAAGATGATGCCGGCAATTGCACGTGGTGTGATTTGAGATATCACATTTGTAGTCTGTAAGAAAAATAGCAGAAGAAACTGCTCATTAGTAGTTTATACAGGTAGTAGCATTCCTAGTTAACCTGCATGTTCTTACTTTGTTTGTCTTTACCCCCGCCCCCCCTCAGGTTGCACATGTACCTACACTTCTGATCTGGGCCATCTAATCATGCCTCCTCCATATTTGCCATATATCCCAGGCCGGTTCATGAAAGTCCTACATGTCAAAATCAATAGTTATGAATATAATAATAAATCGTCCCAATGAACATTGAATACAATGGCCTTTTTTGTGCTTAACCCGAGCTAAGCGTTCACACACACTTTGTTAGCCCGTGCTAAGGGTCTGGACCGGATCTTAAAAACAGGACAGATTTAATCCATACTTAGCATTTCTTAGTCTGTGCTAAGCGTTCATGCACGCTTTCTAAGCATGGGCTAAGGTATTTGACCTCTTAGCCCGTGCTAAGGAACTGTGCGTCAACGCTACTATTATAATAAACCAGTTTTCCATTATACAATAATGGCAACTAAAAGTGCTTCTAATGACAAATGTGGCATCGGATTTTGAGAAACATTTAAATTTCACCTGATGAAACAATAGGGTATTTTTAACACTATAAAGCTGTGTTTAGTGCCTGACTGACAAAATAATTGCGTTGTATGTTAGATGATACAGTGGTTTTAGAAAATCAGTTTCAAAAATTAATAAGTACTAGTAGTTTATAACACACTTATCATATGTTTCATTCAAATCCAATTTAGACAACTCTATTGGCTATAAAAATGTGTACGATGTTCGCCGATATGCCATGAGGCCAATCAGATTGATTCAGGTCGATACCCATAAGGGGAATGATGGTTCCTGCTGCACACGCTGACTTGGTTATCCCTTTCAGCGACGTTTATTCATCTGCAGTGATGTTGCAGCATTCTTTCTCATTGGTCAATGTAAGTTTCCAAATTTTTATATTTGAGACCTGTAAATTTTTTAAACAGCTTTTCTGTAAATGTTGTTTTGTGATTAAGTCTGGATAACTCAAAAGGTCTGAGCACAAAGGTAAATAATTGCTTGCGGAAATGTTGGGTAAATATTATAAATTATGATGTAAAATATAATATGAATTACATTTGTAAGTTACATGTTTGAATTTTTTATTCAAATTTATAAATCAATCAATTATTTTGTTATAGTAGTTTTGACCTTGAATGGATGACAGAAATTATTCATAACAAATTCTGATTGTATTGTTTTTATAATCAGTCACCAATTCAGAACATTCAACCATGGAGCAAAAAAAAACAATAAATTAAAAAAAAAAACTCGCTAAATCACGCTAAAACCATGGATTCTGACATTCATCATAACAAATTTTGATCTGATTTTACTCAATACAAATATGAATAACAAATCAAAGGGTTACTGCACTCACTATCTTTTTTATAATCTATTTATATCATTCTTATCTCCCAGTGCAACACACAATCTCTAAAACAAATCACTGAATTTAATCTGATTTGTGGTTGCCTAGCAACTTGTAACGGTAATTTAAAAGCAGTGATTTTTTAATGACGCATTTACAAGAATTAGGAAAATACATTCGATGCTATTTTCATTTTTTTTTTAAATTAGAATTTCAGGAAAAATTATTTTAAAAATCAAAATCCAAAATGAGATTTAGAAATAAGGTTTGGAGTATCCGAGATCTGCGAACCTCAACTCAACTACTGTTGTCAAGAAAAATAATTTAATTTAAAATAGGTCATGTGCTTGCTTCAAAAACACGACAACCAACCTTGGATCTTGTTTACAGAATTATGTAATGACATACGTACCGTATCAGGATCAGTGGCGTCAATACCGACGTCTGATGAGACTGGTGGATCTACTACGGTATCGTTGGCACCGAGCTTCACTAGTAAATGTACAAGGGTGTCACGTACTGCCATCACGATACACGGGACATGGGTCCAATCACCCGACTAGGTATAAACGATTGGTACGTGCGAAGAAATACACGAAGACAGAAAGAAACAGCTAGGTAAACACAGAGCTCCGCCAACGCGAAAAGAAAACAGAGCCGGAAAAATATACAACCAAGCTAAAGAAACCCGAATGGCAAAACTAAGCCAAAGAAGCTCCAATTTTCACATGGATCCCACAAGCTTTGTAACACCAATAAATGATAAATTTAGCGATCGCTTCGCGAACTTCACAATTCTCCTTTTTCTAGCTGGCGGCCATCTTTGCCCAAGATTTGAAAGTACACGACGCTTGGTGGCGTCCTATTCCAGCAAATTTACTGACCATAACCACCGCTGGGATTTAATTGTTACGAAAGCTACTAATTACCAAAAAGGCGGAAATTAATTGGTGTTGACACACATTTTGATCTTTTGTTGAACGAAATATTTGTAGAGCAAATAAGAAAAATTGAAAATTGGTCAAAATACGCATCCCTTATACAAGGCAACTTTTCAAAAACCTTGTGTCAAAACCGATTTATATATGCAAACTGTCAAATTTGCATATTGTTTGCAAATTTGCATATGCTGATGCAGTGCAATTGCAATTAACAAATTCAGTTTTAGCAGCTTGTTGTAGTAAAAGTTACTAGATTTTTTTATTATTTCAATGATCTAGTTTTAAAGTGTGAACTGTCAAATAATATGCTAAAACAACAAAATGCTAGCATCCATAGACACGAGTGAAAACATATTTCGTCAATAAAACACCGATTGTTTAATACTTTTATACCTGAACAAATACTATACTTTGTATACATTTTTTCACCATGCGTCACCACATCGTGAGACAGTAAGATACTAGTATATCCGTCCCATAGAAATTGATGCTAAGATGTCTTAACATAGATGAAACATGATATTTTCACACTGTTTTGTACACAAATGTTGACTATCGGTGGCAATCATGTTATATTCATTTTTTTTAATTGTGTATTTATTCCGTTATACTGTTTGGTGAACAACCACTTATTTTAAGACCACGAAAATGTGCCGTAAAAGCGAGCACACAGACGCCTTTTTACAATCAAAAGAGAAATTTGTCAGATATATTGAATGAAGGGTATTTGACCTATCAAGTCATCACTCTCTCCTTCTAGGTTGATTTCAGAGCTCAGTGGCGGCGACATTCTATATTAATCCAGTGATGCTGATGACGTCAAAATCGCCCCCCCCCCCTGAATGCGGATGACTTAGTGGGTATGCATAACTTAAAGTTGCATACTAGTACTACAGACAGGGTGTAGTATAAGTATTATTCAACAAATAGAATGTAATAAAGTAAATATAATTTTAGGTATTTTAAATGTCGACAATCTAATTTTGAACCACGTCATTTTACTGTTCAAAAAGTATATTTATAGCTGTAGAAGAAATGCTACAGAAACACACAAAAAAATCGTTATACTGAGTTTGAACGAAACCATGCAGCCTATCTCAGAGAAACAGTTGGGACCTACTGAAAACAGTTGTAAACTGAGTTAGACCTTCAATCAAGCTGCAATGCATATACACTGTAACCTCAATATAATGAACACCTTTATAATAAATTTCCTGATATAATGAACACATATCATGTCTCCCGCTCACAACAAACCCAATAGATTATGTGCTTCATTATAGTGAACATTTCACTATAATTATAACAAACTAATTGTATGTCCCCAAAGTGTTCGTTATAACGAGGCTACAGTTTAATTGTATATTAAGACATACTATATGAAAGCAATAACAAGAAAATGGCCACCAGTCGGCCAAATTGTGTTCAATCACAAAAAGAAAAAAAAAAGTTCTGCACGGTACCCGATGACGCAATACTAGTATTATAGGTGATCATCGTGCCAAGTTTGATCTTAATCGCCTCGGTCATGTTCGAAAAATGTCGAAATAACGATGTAACTTTCACCATTGTAAAATTATTTTGTTTTTATGCAGAAAAAATACAGTATTATACATATTTATTAAAGTTATTGTTCATACATGAGTTATTGAACACAGCTCATAGTTTGTAATTTCATTCAGCTTATTTCAGTCATAATTCAAGACATAAATATAGAGAATATAGCAATTTTTTTTTAATATTCTTATGTAATCGGTAATAGGTGGGTGCATATGGAATACATTTCGGGGGGCTACTTCCATAGAAGTGCAATACGGGTATGTGCCACCCGACTAGGGTGACATTTCACGTTATTCTGTTTAGGAGTGGGTAGTCATTTATCAATGGTTTGGTTTAGAAATGTGTAGCATTTATTTACTTTTTCACAGATCTTTATATCCAAAACCAAATACTGGAAATAGCTGAATAAAATGCATTGCCCGGAAGCGCTCACTGGTTGCGAAAGTTGTGAGCTGGGTGTTTTTTTTTCGCTGAAAACACTTGTGTTTAGAAGTGGGTATATAAATAGAAACAAAAATGGTTTAGAAGTGAGTATGGTTTTCGAGAGGTGGGCTTCACACCCTTACCCACTTACACCCCTTTCACCCCTTGATTACACAAAGAACTGCTGTCAGTCGTTGCAATTGGTCAGGCAGTTTGTTTTGAAATTTACTTCATCTGTTCAAAATGTTGGCAACAACCCGGTAATTATCAAAGGCGTGATTGACAGGTCAACAACAACAAAATTAAAATGTAGGTGAAAGGGGTGTAATGTGGAAGTAGCGCGCCTCCCCCCCCCCCCCACGGGCTATCTATTAATAACCATGACTGCTGGTAGATACAAAGTTGCTAGCTACAAAGAAGTTTGGCTCATTTTGATTAAACAAAAGCAACGCACTTCGTTGCTTAACTGAGAACGCATGCGTTTCGATTTCAAAATGAATATGTTGAACAAATGTATATCCGGTAATTGTCAAAATGATACATTTGTAGCCAATAGGCGTGATCACATGATCATTTTTCTTCCTCACGGCAAACTTGAGTCATAGAGAAACTGAACTGTAATCCGGGACTGTAACTGTCAACTTCTGAGTTTTCATCAGACGTACAGCATTTTAACACCAGAAGCGGTGAACCGGATTGTTTGTGATACGTGTTGAGTAAGTGTTTAAACATTCTTCAATTACGAACACAGTCGTTTGTTGAGGGGGCTTTGAAAACTGACAGAGCCAGTTTCCACATTCATTCGCTGAAGAATGTGCGTAGAAAACTGTACACACACATTATTACGCTTATTAAACCTACCGGTCCGTCAGTATTAGTTGTTTATTTCAATGATGCAAACGAGACCGGTTTTTTGATATACATTTTTTATAGGCGACTGTGGTAATCAGG